TGTAGTTTTTTATTTTAAAAAAAAAAAAAGCATTATAAATTGCACTCTGTATTCTTATTTACTAATGTTTGTTTATTCGATCTACTGACTTTCTAAAATTCGACGATAAATAGCAATTAAAATTACTTACTTCTATCGAAATCTATTAATATATAATAAGAATTAACATAATTCACTTTTAGAAATATTTTCCCACCAATTTCATTAATTATTGCCTAAAAATAATAAATTAACAAAATCTCTATTTATTAGCATAGCTTTTTATCCAATTTTTTTAGGAATACAATCAAAATATGGAATCAAAATCAAAATAAATCTAAGAAATACACTTACCATACTTAATACACTTAATTTAAGAAATACACTTACTATACGTATTTTATTTTTTTTTTAAAATACAATATAAAACATTTAATTAAGTATTTTAGATAAACATTCATTTATATTGTCATGACGATAAACAAGAGTAGTGTCACTCTTAGAAATTTGATAATTTCAACTGTTATATTTCTAATAGTTTTTTTACCGTTGGAATATGCAAATTTCGTTGGAATTTTTATTTCCACCCCGTTGAAAAATCTACCTTTGGAATCGTCAAAATCCATCGAAAATTTCAATTGAAAATTCATTCCAACGGAATATTTTTGTTGCAATTTCTGTTGGAATCCGTTGAAAATTTCCAACGGAAATAATAATATTGAAATATCCGTTGGAATTGTCGTTGGAATAATTTCTTTTGGAATAGATTTTCATGGGAATTTTATCATTTTATTGTAGTGTGCCCAATAATCAAACTAATAATATTGTTTACAATTAGGTGTTTAATAGCATATAATTTTTTCATACCCAAAAATTTTATGAGCATTTTCTACCCAAAACATTAATTACCTACTACAGATGAAAATAATATAAAATGATCTAAATAAAAAATAAATCATTAATTGCATAAGTTTTTGATTTTCGGTTTGTGTTTGTTTTAGTAAATTCTTGGTTTTCTTTAATTACGTGGTTTTGTAGGCAAAGATTATGTAAATAATTATATGTAGCCGATTTTGAAACTCTTATTTATCAAGGATTCTTTTTTATTTTAACAGATTTATTAGAATCATTGATTTAGATTAACATATATATTACATACAAAAAAAAAAAACAATTTTATAGTAATATTTAAATTTACATGGCGTCAATTTTGGAATTCTCATTTGTGAGGATTCTTTTTTATTTTATCATAATTATTAGAACCAACAATTACAAAATATAAATTTATATTAATATCTAAATATATTTATATTAATACTTAAATATATTTTCTCATTGTAGCTGATTTTGAGAATGAACAATTTTATATGACATATATACAAATCTTTTTTTTTAGATATACACCAATTCCCTTTATTGGTGTTTTTTTGTCAATTGTTTTTAAAAGGAAAATTTTCAAAACTATGTATAGTAAATCGATTTTTTGTTTTTGTATACACAAAATATAAATCTATTGCAATATATATATATATATATATATATATATATATATATATATATATACTACCTAAAAAGTTGTCACACATATAATAGGAAAGTTGTCGAATTAAAAATTGTTCAGTATATATACAAGTTGTCACACATTCAATTAAAAATTATTCGGCTTGAAAAAATTAGCTTGAAGTAATGTCTAATCACTAATTTTTTATATTTTATATCTACTATATATAATCTCCCTCATAAAATTAACGTAATTTAATATTCAATGTTTTGTATTATTCATACATATTTTTGTAAATATACACCAATTCATTTGTTCAACTGTTGTATAAATTATCATATTATAAATAGATTCATCTTAGACTTCCATTTAAGTTCCAGCGGCACAGTTCCTTCTGATTTTGGGGTTCCATTTAACAGTCATGGTCAGTCTTTTTGTGTAAAAAATATAGAAATATTAGTGAATATTATATAGCTAATCAAGTATAATCGACATTAAACTAACATCTCATTGTCTGATTGTCTAAGTAAATTATCATATTATAAAAATATCTATCTTAGGATTTCATTTAAGTTCTAGAGCACCAGTTACTTCTAATCTTATGGATTTATTTAAGATCAAAGTCAGTCTTTATGTGTGTTGGCATATTATTAAAGAAATCGGTTCTTAGCAACGACCGATTATATGTTGTTGTTTTTACGTGTAAGTAATAGATAAGAGATGTGCATTTGCATATTCTTAAAAAAATCTTTTTTTTTTTATCACGACCAATTGTATGTGTTACGCGTGTAAGTAATAGGTCAAGGAGAGTCAAGGTCAACATTTATTGTACGTTGGAATGTTAAGTAATAGATCAAGAAGAGTCAATGTCAACATTTAATGTACGTTGGCATGTTCTTAAAGAAATCGATTTTTAGTCGCAGACAATTATGTTGTTTGTTTCGCGTGTAAGTAATAGTAAAATGTTGAAAATATTAGTTTGTGGGGACGACGAGCTGCTCAATTATTGAACAAATAATGTTGTGTACAAGAAAGTTTAAATAATATTTTTTTTTGCATGAGGAACAGTTTATGGTTTGATAATTTTTCTACGAATTATCACTTTTTTATTTATTAATACCTTTTAATTTTTAATATTCTCCAAAATAAATATAGCCCGTGCATCGCACGGGTTACATACTAGTACATAAAAACAAAATGGACGAATAATTTATTCTGTTGCAATAAATTTGGACCTAAAATTCGGAGCCCAATAAGTCGTACTACCATTGCTATAGGGAAATTTTTATCTCTCCTACACGTTTTTTAAAAATTTACAACTCTACCACACACATGCAATTAATTGTGACTTTGACTAAAAGATAATGTTTATTTACATTAATGCATAATGGCAGTTACCAATTAATTCTAACCACTCTCCTGATTCAGTTACCATATTAATTCAATTTTCCCTCTTTCTTTTGCATGTGTTTTGCGTCCCATATGCTAAAAAAAAAAAAAAAAAAAAAAAAAAAAAAACTTTTTTAATTTTATTCAGAAAAAAGTTACGAAAATTACCACAAAATTGACAGGTAAATTAAAATCAAGGTATATTTTTCTCGTCTTGCTAGGTAAAAAAGTATACATTTTATATATAGTGATCATATACTGTACATATACCACAACACAACACAAAATAATAAAGGCGCCATCCATCTTTTTCTTAAGAAAAGTTATGCAAATATACTAACATAAACCCAACATATCATCATATACGCAAACGGTAATGATGGTATATGTATTGTGTATATTTTCCATGATTTTA